TTTTGCTACTATTTTGTTTTCCTCCAGAGACCCTAAACGCCTAGAAACGATTTCGATCAATTGATTTTGCAGCCATAATCCAACATCTGTCATAGGTTTTAAATCTTTTATATGCCACTGTAAACCTCGAACTAAAGGAACTATAAGAGACATAGTTATATATTTTTCTGCAGATAGTTCACTGGTTAATAACTCCATAGGTTTTAGAATTGGTACACAATCTATCACTATGGCCCATTCTGAAGCATCTAGATTTTCGGGTGCTGCAGGCAAATTTGTGAGGGCTATGGTTAAACTGTCTTTAATTATTAAAAGTCTTTCCAACATTAACAAAACAGAATTCCACCTGGTATCTACAGCTTGCTTCACTTTTAACACGGGTAAGTTCATTTATTCCTGACAGTTTTTTAATTTCATTGTAGCAAGTTCACTATGCTTAAAATATCCTACTAATCTTTTACTTTTTATAATTATATTTTTCAGAATTGCATTGCCATTTAGAGATTCTTTGGTACTCAAATTTAGCGTATGAGCTACACAAGGATGATGGTTTTTTCGCAAATGTTCTATAATTGCATTTTTTATATTCGAGCCATTATCAGAAATAAATGTTACTATCTTATTGTCCAAATTCCAATCTTCAATGCATTTAGATATATGATCTGCTACATTTCGACCAGTGTGATGCTCCTGCTCCAATTCTTTGACACTTAAGGTTTGAGAACATAATTTCATGTTGTTTATAAAATGGCAGGTCACTGAAATGTATGACTTGTTGCTGTCTGACTGCCAAATATCTGTGGTTAGAGAAACATATTGTACAGTACCCAACAGGGTTTTGATTTTTGTTTGAATTTCCACATATTTTTCTGGTAATAGTCTATTTGTTAAAAATTGTCTACTTGGTAAGGTGTATAATGGGTTTAACTTTTTGGTATATTCTATGAAGCCACGATTTTCCACAATAGATACAGGTTGAAAATCTGTAACGATTAATTTTAATAAACTTAAATCTAAATCAGTCTTTTGTTTTTCTGACAGTTCATTTGTGTTCTTGGCACCATAAATTTTTAACTGTTTTGCACGTTTGACGACGGGTTGCGAATATTTAACACTAGCACTTCTTTTTGAAGATGTTGAGACTTCCACTGTGTTATAATAAGGAGCATTAGAACTACTCGATGTAGAAGTAATCTCAGTTTGAGGGGTCACTGCTGGCGCTGGATTTTCATTAAATTGTATTCCTTCACTTTCTTCTACTTCATTATTAGGAACGAAACTCTCTTTGTTAAGTTCTTGAGTATATTGCAAGTTATGTTTTCGCATAACATGCTGCTTTAAATTACTTGTACTTGCAAAGTACTTGAGTTGTTGAAAGCACAATTTGCAAGTAACAAGACTCTTATCTGTAGCAGATTTGTTAAAAAAAATCCATACAATGGACTTTTTTGCTGGTGCCATTTGTTTTACACGACTTTTACACTGCTATTTAACACTAGCACTTCTTTTTGAAGATGTTGAGACTTCCACTGTGTTATAATAAGGAGCATTAGAACTACTCGATGTAGAAGTAATCTCAGTTTGAGGGGTCACTGCTGGCGCTGGATTTTCATTAAATTGTATTCCTTTACTTTCTTCTACTTCATTATTAGGAACGAAACTCTCTTTGTTAAGTTCTTGAGTATATTGCAAGTTATGTTTTCGCATAACATGCTGCTTTAAATTACTTGTACTTGCAAAGTACTTGAGTTGTTGAAAGCACAATTTGCAAGTAACAAGACGCTTATCTGTAGCAGATTTGTTAAAAAAAAATCCATACAATGGACTTTTTTGCTGGTGCCATTTGTTTTACACGACTTTTACACTTTTAACACTACTTTATTTAATAAATATTCTAAGCATACACTGAACACTAGTCCCAGAAAAGGTTAAGCAACACCGTCTTACTTAATAAAATGTATTACTGTGTCTTATCACCCAAATTATGGGATTTACGGGAGACGTTAGTTAGAAATAAAGAAGAGGTGGACGATAATTTATTATAAGAAATTCACATAAATTATATTTAGTAAATAAAAAACTGAAATATAATAATTTTTAAATCCTTAAAACAATAACAACTATACCTTTTTTCTATTAGTGCTTGTTATTCATTGTTTATGAAATAATTAATCATAATCATAATATTATATCCTAATTAGAATAACTGTTACACCGAAACGGTTATCCCATCTTTAACTTGTTCCTTTTTCGCCTCTGCCAACTGTAATGTTCACAGTAAGCACCGTATACGCACGCTCTACTCTGACTTCACCCACTTATGTCGTCCTCTTTGAATTAATTCGGAATCGAATAATTAATCCGAGTATTTAGATCATTCGAATACGTTGAATCCGAGTATTGAAATCATCCGAATATCTACATCATTAACTAGAACTGGAATAAGAGAAAGAATTTTTGTTTATATCCCTCATGAGAGGAATGAAAATGATAAGAAATCATGTTTTCCAAACATGTCATTTATCTTGAAAACTATTGATTTTAGGGAAAAATTATCTAAGAAATTAGGTAAGACTAAATAAAATTAAATTTCCTACAAGATAGACATATTGTAAAATTCAAATGTAGCTGGTGTGAATGAAAAGGCTTACAAAAAAGAAATTTTAATGATAGTTGGGGGTTTTTAACTATGCCATATATTAATATTGAGATTTGTAACTGCACAGAATTATTATTTCCAGATTTAGCCATACAGCTCACACTCTCTCTAAGCAGAAAATTCACTCATCCCAGATACCTAAGGTATCAAAAGGATTGAGCTCTAGTGTGACTTTTAAATTAAAGAGCCTATGTGACTTGGTATGCAGGAGTATCTCCCAAAAATTTTCTTATACATCTGGATGTCACAAGGAGTACAGCTTTCTGCTGCATTGACCAATAGAGCTCAATATATTAAATGAAGACCAGAAAAAAAGTATTTAACTGAATATGTTATTAAAACTGTAAAACATCCAACAAAAATAATGGGGTGGTCTACCATTAGCAGTAAGGGACTTGGTAGACTTCAAATAGTTAAGGGGATAATGCGACAAGATCAATACATATCAATATTACAGAATAGACTGATACCTCAAGTACATGAATGGTTTCTTGATGAGGAATGCATATTTATGCAAGATGGAGCACCATGTCATACTGCAAAATCAGTGAAAAAATTCCTGGTTGAGAATGGTATTTCTCTCTTGGACTGGCCGGGAAATTGTCCTGACCTTAATCCCATAGAAAATGTTTGAGAACTTCTTAAACGGAAAATTTCCAATGAAAAAGTCACAAACAAAATTGTTTTAATTGAAAAATTAATATATCATTGAAACCACAATGAAAAACTGAAGCAAAGTGTCTTTAGCTGTATTGAAGGTATGCCAAGACGGGTACAAGCAGTAATCAAAGCCAAAGGGGTTCAACAAAGATTAAAAATTATATAAATATGTAATCTTCTTAAATGTTTTATTGCTATTTATTATTAAATATATTATAATTAAATCATTTTACATAAAAAAACTGAATTTCAAAATAAATTTCTAAACAAAAAGTTGTGAAGAAGTTGATTTTTATAATAAATAATTGGTGGCCATAATAATATGGCCATAGACTGCATTATTGTACATTTAAAATAGTATATTGAACAACTAAACCATAATTAACTTTTGGAATAGAAAACTTTGTCAGAATGGTTATATTATTTTTAAAAATTCTCGTACAAAACTGAGACAAGAATGTATCGATATTTATACTTTGCTACTTTGAACGGTCTTGTATAAATAAATATTGTTGTAATCTTCTGTTATACAAATTGTACTATCAAGTATTTCCAATTTGAGAAGTTTTATGTTCAAATTTATAGTAGCTCGTAAATAGCCTCAGATAGTCCCAATTCTAGTATGGCCCATATTCTATATCTTGTCCTATTCTTTAAATCCACCTAATCTGGGGTGAAAAAGTGACAACTTCCTTTCTAACAAAACAAAATGTCACTATTCTACCTTTGATTGAATATTGAGTTTTGCATGAATATCAGAAATACAGAGTTATGCAATAATTGCATAATTAAATAAAATTTACATCTAAAATAAAAGTAGTTTATAAACAGTAATCAATATTCTACATTTCTAATTTTCTGTTCAATTTTAAATTTCATTCAAGTAACCCTATATTATGTATTTTACTGATTACTATAATTTTTCAAGTACATATTTTATGTGGTGCATGCAAATCACATCTATAAATATAGACTAGTATGTCTAGACTGCACTTTTACTGGTGGTTTACTTATTCACAAAATCAATAACTGCAGTATAGATTGACATGAAGACCCACTATTGCAGGACCCTCTATGTTTATATTTGATTTTTATAGGTTATCTTAACAATTACATAGGCCTTTGTTTAATATATTATTTATCATTCTACATACTTCAGAAATGTTTATTTATCCATGTTCCTCCTACTACGTAGTTCTGTCAACCTTAATTAAAATTTCTAATTATGATAGCAATCCCAAAAAGAAAACTTACAGGGGTTTATAAGGTCATAATCACAATAACGAAATATCTTTGATTTTTTACTATGCTTATGCCTTATTTATATCAACAACTGTTGATTTTCATGAATTATTCTGACCAAGCTATATACATATAATTTATTCTTATTTAATTATGAAGAATCCATTTTTGTAAACAATTTTGTAACCTATAACATCAGTTTACTAAGTTATGTTTTATTTCTTTTTACGATTTTGCTAGATATATCATTGGCATTTTCTAAACATTTATTTTATATTAAATAGGCTCCAGACCTTCATTATTGACATTTATTTATCTTCGATACTTAACTCTTCAATGCTAGATTGAATAAGATAGGGAAATACACCGTCTATCTCAGACTTCTTCTTCGAATTCATGGAATTTAATAAATAGTTTAGAATAATAAAAGATAACTCACCATATGTAGGTCTAGGTGCCTCCCCGTCAGTTGTATCTTCACCATGTTGAAGTGATAAAAGTGCCTTCAACCATGACTCCAATTCTTCCTCGGTATCTAACACCACGCAAAAACAATCGTCTTTTGTATAAAGTGCAATGACATGCTTATGTTTAATGTCCTGCCTCTTGTTTATATTAAAGCAAGTTTTCAAGGGTATACTTCTTTTAGGAGGTTGGCCGCTGTTAAATTTCTTTTCGGAATCATAATATTCCAAACGTGCGGAAGATTCAGGAGTTTCAGCACGCAAAACAAACCACTTCTTCCGCGAGGTTTTTAATTTTTTGAAGAGTCCAGAGCGAAGAACCTCGCCCCCACCTCGCTGCGATCCAATACTCTTAAGGGACATTATTGAAGCATAATAAATAAAAACAGTAATTACATATCTCACAAGCACTAAAATTCACTTTTCCTTCGTGAAAAACTAGGACACTGGCGGAATATAGGTCAATGAAAGGTGTTTATTTAGAAAATTACGACGCCAGACACCCCAAACAATCCAATGCTTTCTAGGTCTGTATAACGCGCACTTTCTTCAAAACACGTTTTAACGCCAATTACGCAACAGTTCTTCACTAAAAACTTCGATATATTGTAGCACGGCACTAAACCAACACTTTGCAATGCGAATATGTCTAAAATAACAAGTATTTTTCTATTAAAAACGATACAACCCTCATGTGGTCATGTGTCTGTGTTGTAGATTTGTAGACGTCTGCACAGTGTTGCCGATGCAATCATGACAGTTTCCTCAAATATAAATTCCGCATTCCCCACCATATTACTGATATGGACAACGCGCGTGATACGTATGGCATGGGTTTCTACAGATTCAAAATCATGGGCGTGCTGATTTAAGAATTTAGACCGGATATCCCTATTAACTTACAATTCTAGCAGAAACAATTTTTTTAATTTAAAATCTAAGTAGGTTTCTTGTACTTATACTCTAATATAAAATAGTGTTATCAAATAAATAATGTAGAAAAGTGGTACCAAAAGGTCAATTAAGTCAAAATTATTCAAAAATTATAGTATATCAACAGACAAAGGTCTTTTTTATATAGATTTCTCGTTATATAACGGAGCTACTCTAGATTTATTTTTTAAATTGTTTTAACTATTACTCTCTTTGGTCTAGTCTTCTACCATACTTACCTTTGCAGGTTGATCAATAGGTATAGTTTTACAATCACTTTATCTGTATCCATTTTTCAAAATGTTATTCTTCTTTATATGCTTTTCTATTGTTAAAGATTTACCATCATTGCGACAAATTGATTGCCTTTACAATTGCGTACATTATTTAGTCCCAACCATTTTTTTCTTCTCGGTCTCTTTTTTACTTATCTACTATGAGAAGTAGGATATTATTCTATTTATGATAAATATGTCCGTGATATCTAATTTTACGTTTTTTAATAATACTCAAAAGTTTTCAACATAACCGATATCAAATATATAAAGAATTTAAATTGATTGTATGAAAGACAATATTTTTGTTTTCTCTGTATTTATTTTTAATCCATATCTGTCGTCCTTTCTTGTTATAGCAAATCTTCTAGTCTATTTGATTTCTTACAATACCCTGATGACCATATAAAGACAAAATCTATGTATAAAGTCTCACGGTGAGACCATATTGTCCGATTACATGCTTTACAGCTCGATCTTCAATTTTCACGGTAAAATCTACTAATATGATAATAATTTCGTGATTTTTAGTAACCTTTTGACTCCAGTAAATGAATCGCTTTTACTTTGGTGGTAAAAAACATACGTTCAAAATAAGTCCAGAAATGGATAAATTAACTAATTATAAGCAACTTTTACTCTATAAAGTTTTTTAGTTATAGTGAGAGTTTGCGATAGAGTCATTTGCGAGTTAGAATGGTGATTTTTCAAAATAAAAATCACGCTTTCAGATAGTTTTTCACACTCATAAAAAAAGTATTTATCGAAAAAATATTCTTAGCAAAAATGTAGCTTATAAAAAAACAAAAAAATTGTGTACGTAGGAAGTCTGTAGACCAAGTAAAAACAGAGTTGTCATTCATAAAAAGTAGGCTCTTATTTGTCAAATTCCAAAACTAATATTTCAACGTGAAATAACCAAATCATGAAGTACTTTTCAATCTTTATTTTTGTTTTTTTAATTTTTTAATGCCATACACTAGGTATCAATCAGTCACAACATGACTAATACCTCAAACATAAAAATTAATAACCGTTAAGTCCACAAAATATCAATAAAAATAGTTGCATAATATGATTTAAGTACTGAAATTAAAATAAGATCAAGTTAAATATAGCTTCTTTTCAATATTATCAATGTGTTCTGAAAACGATATACATAATATAATATAATTCAAAATACTTAAAACTACAAGACTATTTTGATAATTGACCGAAACTTGATTAATGCATTATAAATTTTCTCATTTCCAATAGCTACAAGGCTAAGACGTTCAAAATAATGTTTGACGGGTGTGTCCCTTATTTTTTGGTAAAAACGTCATAAAAATCACCCACTAATTAGGACCTTAAATAAAATTAATCTTTACCGCTTTACAATTTGCTTTATATATGTATTGTTTATATGATCTGTAAGTTTGACCGGTTCAAGGGGCTCATTTTTGAAAAAAGTAAAAAAAAATTTTTTTAATTTTGAAAAAAAATGACTTTTTCTCAAAATAACTTTTAAAATAACGTCAAATTAAAAGACGTTATCCGCTTACTGTACGCTAGAGAGATACCTCTAGAAATAATCAAAAAATAAATATTAATCAAAATAATAATTGAAAATATCTACCAAAACAACACAATAAAAGTAAAAGTAGAAGAAGAACTAAACGATCCTTTTGAAGCTGGTAATGGGATAAGAAAACGGATACCAAATAAGAGAAAAACAACTTAAGACTGTTTTAGCAGTTCAAGCACGTTGCGATTTGAAATGGGCGTATCACTTACATTTCTACACTGCTTACGCGAGACCATCTTTACTCAGTGGCGTCGGCCAACGGGCAACAAATGCATTACTCTCCATTCAAATTAGTTTTAACACGAACTAACTGACCGTACGCTCATGAGATTTGAAGTCTCGAAGGCAATAACGGTGAACCTGAGCGACAATGATGAGTAACACGTTTCACTATTGGATTTTAGTATTTTTTAGCAATTTTCTTCAAAGTTTGAACACGCTTTTCTCGATTATTACTGGACACAGAAAGGTGAAAAAAATCAACGATTACAGAAAAAAAGTTTGGTTATAATAGAACGTTAAACAGTATAATCCAATTTTTCAATAGAAGTAACAAAAAAATAAAAGTAAAACCATCATTTTAAAAGCAACATAGATTCGAATATTGTGTCCAAATTTCGAGACATTTTGTCGGTAAATAACAGTTCCTAGGTTTTGGTGCACCGATAAAACAGCCTTAAAAAAATCTACCAAGCAGACGACGCAATACTACTCTCTCAAAGTAAAGATGATGTACAACGTATGCTGCACCAATTTAATATAACCGCCAGAAAATTTAACATGTTAATTTCCCCCCAAAAGACAAAATGCATGGTTACAACAGCAAGACGTAAATTGGAGCTGGAAGGTCAGATAATAGAACAAGTGAAAGAGTTTAAATATCTAGGCATCACATTATCTAGCTACGGAAAGCTCAAAACGGAAGTGGAAGATTAAGTGAATAGAGCGAACAGAGCCGAAGGCTGCCTGAATGAAACAATATGGAGAAATAAAAATATCGGGAAAGAAACGAAAGGTAGAATTTACAACACAGTCATGAGACCAATAATGACATACGCGGCAGAAACAAGACCTGATACAGAGAGGACAAAAAGGATATTAGAAACAGCAGAGATGAAAACGCAGAAGAAAAATTGATGGTAAGGCACTATGGGACAGAGCTAGAAGTACAGATATATGACGTAGATGCAAGGTGGAGAACATCAAGAACTGGGTATGAAATAAAAGAGTTGAATGGAACGATCGTATAAGCCGAATGACAGCAAATAAAGTAGTGAAGTTGGCAAGAGATTAATTTTTTCTCTTAAAAAACTTACAAAATGGTTGTTTTCAGTTCTTTATAGCTTAAAAGCTAACTGAGTTATGAGTAAAAAACCAATCACATATTTTAGGAGATATCATAACGCGTATACTGGAGTACGCGTATACGCGTAAGATACACATAATATGCTATTAAGGCATAGACATATTTTCACCCATCCTTACATACTAATAAGGGTAGTCTTTTAAGTTAAAAATTATTGTATTTATAGTTTCAATGAAAAAAATACTACAACAATTCGAGTTTCTTCACAAGAGTTGATGGGGGTAGAAATTATGTGGTAAAAAATTAAAACAGTAAAGAAATCTAAATTTAATGTCACTGTAGATGTCACCTTTTTCTTTAAAAGGGGTTGTTTTCACCAATAAAAAATAAAAATCAACCAACGGCACAGGTCGAAATGAAGTGGAGAGTAAATAGAACCTAAATCCAAATGTTTATGCAATTCGGTGGTAACAAGGAAAATTGACCTATTAATGCTACATCCAGTTGTTGGTACAATCGCTCTAGTTGTTCTTCTGACTTGTCTGCTGTAAGGATGTAGGCTCCGTCCAGCTAGCGGAGATAGGATTACTTCAGGGGCCAGATATTCCAGCTGGTCGTAAGAGGCGACCAATAGGAAGGAATGAAAGGTGAAGAACCATCACTTAAGGTGTCAGGTTCCGAGATTAGTATCCGAGGTTAGTATCCGAGACGAGCCTCTCGTGGGACCACTCTACTTTCATTCCACAGAACTAAAGTGAGGTTGAACGAGCTGAGATTCTTATATGTTCTTCATTATTAAGTTGGTTCATTATTAAGAGGTTTACGAGTGGTAGAGGAGTGCTCCTCGACGGTTACTTGTCTACGTGCAAGGTCGAGTTCCTCTACCTGCGCTCAGCTTTCTGCAACACAGGAACTACGGGAAGAGTAGAGTCTTGCGATGCATCATGCAACGCGCCACCCCAAATGGTGTCGGACTCATAAGGGTTAGTGGCTAGCTAAAGGGACAGGTGAACCTGGGTATCGCTGATGTTTTATACATCGAAGGTACATCAATTTCTTTATGTAGAGATGTAGGCTTGTATGATGTTTATGTTAGCTTTTCCAAATAGCTGAATAAGTATGATTATTTCGAAGACTGTGACACAATTTTTTAAGGAGAGACATACACTTTCGTTTATTAGAATTCCTACTAGGTATATATTTGTAAGTAAGTAGTAAGCAGGCTTGGAATATGATCAAAAAACTTAATGGTGATCCCACAGATCAGAGATGAAAGAGCTAT